GTTGAATTTAACAACTTCATGTTCATTCTTAACGTAAATCTCAGTTATACCACTCACTTTATGATGTTACACAAAAGTGATTTAGAACATCATAACATAATTGTTTGTGTGGTGTATGTGTGTACATTAACAGCATCCACAGGACCTCAAACCTTCAAGTACAGCAGCCAATGTGTGTTAGGCTAGCAATGGATACTACATAGACAAAAGCTTCAATTTATTCAGTTTGAAGCCTTTAGGCCTATTTGATTATTTCTGTTTCCCCTTTCAGGTCTGTACAATATTTCAGTTTCTCAAAACGAAAGCCAAGTGCTTTTCTAGGAGGCGGTGCAACTTGACTAAAAGTCAGTGCCAACATAAAATACAGACTAACAACAGAAACCAGACTACCCAGTTGGGCAGATGTGTCGAAGGGTTAACATAAATATTCTGCTCAGTCTCAACTTATGTGCTTGTCTGCCATCACTTACAATACAAGTATCTTGTCTAACACATTTTGTTCTTGGCTGAAGGATGTAGGCACATGACTAACATGTGCCAGCCATAATGGCTAATTCTGTTTTGCACAGAAGCCTTTGATATGGCATGGTTTTTTCTTCCTATACAAAATTGTTCTGGTAGTTATAGTAGACCAGCTGTGTGCATTTTAGACATGACAAGCATAGTTTTTCAAGAACCTTTGGGTTTTTTAAAATTATGGTGAATAAGTTTCACCACATGCGCAGTCTGCTTGATTAGGCATGCTTTGGATGTCCGGATAAAAATTCTGCTACTTTTCTTTTTTTTTTTTTCTTCTTTTTTTTTAAACCTGTCCTGCCCAGCAGCCTGGTATAGAGTATAATGACCTGGATACCATATTGTGCCAGACAGATTTTACTTTAACAAGAGAGTATTAAAATACTCCTTTGTCTGTTTTATTATTTATTTAATTATGTATTGATTTGTCACCGGGCCGGACAGGGGGGCAGACACGGGGATGGGGGGGGCACAAACAGACAGCACAGAGAAAGGACAACACCTGTAAGAGAAGGGGGAAAGGGGGATGGAGGGTGGGGACAACAGGGAAAAGCTGTGGGAAATGTGTCTGTATGTGTGTGTGTGTGTGTGTGTACGTGTGTGCGCATAAGCCTGTTAAAGAATGTAGTTGTTAGTGAGAGTGGAGCGCCACGACTGTAACAGGCAGGCAAGAACCCCAGTAGCCAATAGGGGTGGGAGAAAGAAAAAGAATAAATCAAATAAAAAAATAAATAAAATAAAAATAAAAAACAAAGACTCCCAGATGCACTGCGATGCAAACGCAGAAGACCCCGACCCAAATGCCAGTTGACAACGTAATGCCGACGGAACGCAAAAAGCGTAACCCGCGGAAGAGCAGCGCCCGGACCGACCGCGGCGTGCACAAAACATAGACCAGTGCTCCCCCCCCTATCCAGCACCCCACCGCCGCGCAGCAAACAACCAAAATGCCCAAATGCCACGCAATCATCAACACCAATGCACAAGTGACGAGCCCAACGCGCACACTGCGCGAGCACGGCGACACCCATGCCCAGCAGCCCCCCGCGAATCCCGCGTGCGAGGTTGGGCAAATGAGAGAGAGCAAACGGAACAACACGACAGTGAAAGCCAGCGGAGAGAAACACCAGCAGCAAGTCCCAGCCCGGCAGCAAACGCGCCGCACAGGTCACCGTGCACCCGCCAATAAAAGTCTGCCGTCCCCCCAACCGCCGGAAAAAACTAAGGCCGCCGGCGCCAGCCGACATCCCCCATGCCCAGCGCCCCCCCCCGGCCGCCATGCAACACCAGCCAAACCAGCAACGAGGCAAAATCAACTAGCTCAGCTGCATGCCACCAACAACCAACCCACCCACCCATCAAGGGCCGAGAACTCCAGGCACAAACCCAGAACAAACCGGAGCACAGCCCTGCCCCGCACCCACACTGCACATCCCGAAAACTAACTATATACCTCAGTATCCAGAGGGGTCCAACAACTGGCCGACACAGAAATGGGGAGGCACGGATCCGAGGCCAACGAAGCAAAACAGGGACGCAAACAGGTCCCTCCAAGCCAACGAGGAGATGCCTCCCCCGGACTCCAATGCACAAACTAAACGCCCAGCAGCCATCCAGAGACCCTGCCCAGGGAAAAAGTATAATGCATCAAGATGCATCGACAATCGCCCCACAATCCCACCGCAGCCCACCAAACCGCAATTGGATCAACCCACGCAGAGACCCCCACCCCCAGAAGCCAGGACACCCTGCGACCCCCCAAAGCGCAAAGGACCCCAGACCGCATGTCCAGGGGGAAGCTGTACCCCGCCCCAAGGAAGAACAGCAGAAAGCCGTGCCGGGAAGCTCCCTGCCGCCAGGGAGCGATAACGCGGGAGAACCAGGCCAACGGTCCCCCAGCCCAGCCAGAGGCATCCCTCCCTACAGTGCAGGCAGTGACAGCAGCCCCCGAGGCTGATCTCATCCCCGGACAGGGGCCCAGCCCCCCCAGTCAAGCACCCCCAAGGAGGAGCACCAAAACCTACCCCGACAACACTGGTCATGCGCCCCAGAGACTCCCGAATGCCCCCACCGTGAGAGAGCTGGCAGGGGGAAGCAGCGGGAGCCTCACTTCTACCGAAGAGGGCCCAGGCGAGGAGAGGAGACAACGGGCCCCCAGGCCCAGGGACACACCACCCGCCCAGAAATGAGCAAAGGCCACAAGCCCGAGTCCCCAGAACCCTAGGTCAAGGGCGGGCCCCACGCCAGGTGTTCATATGTCTGTGGACAGATTTTGTCAACGCGGTAGCATCACATCCAAGCAGTCACAAAACTTTACAGGTGTGTAGTTGAGATCAAAATGAAGGCCACATTCAAAGGGGTCTCTGTGGTGTATTACTTAACTACTAAATAGTCATGAGTGGAAGTTGGTTGGTTAAGACTTAAAATCACAAAAATCTACATCATTGTAGAGGTTGATTATTGAAGAAACTGGCAAATTTTCTTGATTAGATTCACCGTATATTACCAGGTTAACCAGCACATTTGACTGAAAACACAAACATACGTTAAGGAATGTTTCACAGTAAAATATGGAGGGGCAGTGGACCAACAGAGCAACCCTCTGGATCCAGTAGTGATGAGTTAGGCCAAAAGGTTTAAAAAAATAAATAAATAATGATCCAATATTGAAAGTATTAAGTGTATTTATTTTAAATAAAATGTTAACACATACATTTTTTCACCTAAAGAGCAACGGCCAACAAAAGACAACATTTAAAAGTGTATCTGCAGGTGTATATGTTATGCTAAATTTCACTGAAATGAACAGTCTGCACTGGACTTCCAGGTTGCAGTCGTATGTTTAGCAATCCTCATTGTATTTATATTGTTTTCCACAAGGGCATTTAAGTATATCAGTGATTTTTGTTTTACATACATATATAAATACAGTGTGTAGACAGAGTGAGGATGATTAAAACGTGTTATATGTAAAGTGGGCACATCCCATATTTGGAGTTATCATGTGGAAACTTACTTTAAAAAGTATGATAGGGTGGGTGGAGACTTTTTCATATGATGACATCCAGTCAGATGTTGTATTCAGATTTCAGGACTACAAATGCCAACTAGTGATTGCATTTGAAATAAGACACAGACATGGGAGATCAGTTTTTGTATGCTCCTGTCTTAGTAACGCCTTGCACCATAAAGGCAGTCAAATTTTAAAAGAGCAAAATGTTAGAGGGCAAAAACAGAGCTTATTTTGTATATGGTGAGTCATGGGGGGATGTAGAGTAGTATTTTTGAAGATTTCTGTCAGGGGAGGGCATGGTGTATACTATAAATTTTGAGAGAGAGAGAGAGAGAGAGAGAGAGAGAGAGAGAGAGAGAGAGAGAGAGAGAGAGAGAGAGAGAGAGAGAGAGAGAGAGAGAGAGAGAGAGAGAGAGAGAGAGAGAGAGAGAGAGAGAGAGAGAGAGAGAGAGAGAGAGAGAGAGAGAGAGAGAGAGAGAGAGAGAGAGAGAGAGAGAGATCACATCACTGTGCCATTGGACTTGTTTGTATTTAATCAGATTAATAACTGTGGAAGAAAGAGGGTAAAGGATAAAATGAAGGGAAAAAGAGGCAAAGGTGCTGACAGAGAGCTGTATAATAAGCTTTTGTACCTTAGACATCTACCCCCCTCTCCCCCTCTGTGGGCCAGACTATCTGTCCACTCTCAGGGAATGTTGTGCCTATACCTTAATTCATTAGCCACATGCACATTTGAGTTACATGCCACATGTATTGATGGTAAAAGACTGTTTTTGTGAGTTTTTAGCACAGATGCATGTTGTTGCACAAAGTGTCTTACTTGTCTCCGGTGTTTTTGTTGTTATTGTTTTTTAGGGTGTAATATATATAGCAAGTGGCCTCTGCCTTAAAATTGCACTCTAAACAAGTATTGAGCCTTTAGAATGAAGACCGCAGACTGTTTAAGCTGTGTTGGAGAAAACCCATGTCCACTCATTGATATGCAGAGGCTCTATGAGTGAGTGCTGTAAACAACCAGAAAGCCCTGGAATTGGCACTTGAGGCTGTTGCAGGACACACACACACACACACACACACACACACACACACACACACACACACACACACACACACACACACACAGTCTCTGCTTTCTTAACAATGCTCGACATTCACATATATTCAGACTCTTAGAACACCGTTGCACACACAAGCCATATCCCCCACCACTCTCCCTCTCCCTCCCTCTCTCCCTCCCTTGCTCTTCTTTCCTCTACCTCTCCGGGTCTGCACCACATCAGCAGCAGCTGGAGAGTGCAGCATAGCATTTCAGAGTAGAGCCGAGGAGGGCAGGGCAGGCAGTGGCCCGGTGTGGGCCATCCAGTGGAGAGAGGAAATATCGTTGAGCATTTTTCTCTCTCTCTCTCTCTCTCTCTCTCTCTCTCTCTCTCTCTCTCTCTCTCTCTCTCTCTCTCTCTCTCTCTCTCTCTCCCCCTCTAGATCTGCAAGCAGAGAAACAGCAAAGCTCCTCCTCCCCTGCCACTCAGGAACTGATGACAAGGCTGGGCTTTTTATTAGGAGAAGGGATCCCGGGTACGGCACGCATACCTATGGACGACAAGAATGAAAAGAAGGTATTTCATTTTCTCCCTCCCCTCCAACTCCCTCCCTCCTCCAACAGCAGCTGCTGCCGCTGCTGCAGCACACAGATAGAAAGATAGAGAGAGGGAAATGATGAGAGGAGGAGGTGGTTAAGACAGTGTAACAGAAGAATGGATTTTGTTTTTGTTGCAGCTTGATTAATTTTTTCCCCCTGTTCATTATCTTTGGATGGGGATTTAGGAGGCATCTCAGGGATTTTGTTTTTGGCACAATAAACAACGGTAACTGTTAAACTGTTTTGTTTGAGATTTTAAAGATGTTCTAAAGAAAGTAACTGCATATTTAAAATTGTCTCTATGTAGTTTTATTTCACTCAAAGCTCTCCAGTGTGGTGTGTGAGTCTCCCAGTAACTTGAGTGCTATTCCAGGGGCTCTTGAGTATGTAACAAGAGTGTCTGAGCCCGGGTCCAGAAATAGAGTTATGTTAGGTCTGAGCCTCAGTTTGTTTGGCTCTACTAATTAAGCTGGGGCTGTGTGAAGAGCAGAGCAAAACCCAGCGCGCTACGCTTCCCTCATTCCTCTTGTGTCTTGGATGCGTTTTGACACTGAACCAGCAATTCTATGAATGTGAAGGAGACTTAAAAATTAATTTATGAATCATGCTCCTTAGTTGAGATGTCAAAAAAGATGACGGGCAGTATGGGAGTTCAATGTTTTTTTTTTACTTTGTGTTTGTTTGTATGCGCGTAGCTGTGTGTTTTCAGAGGTCAGTTTGGGAGGAGCACATTATTGTCATCTGCCCACAATTCTCTGTTCCTCCATACTGCTGTTTTACAACATGTCTTTAACTTAGCTTTATTAAATGTCAGGAAGCTGTTTGGCTCTTACTGTGATTCGTTAGGTATCATAAGCTCTGGGTTGCAGCCTTAGGCTGGAAAAACTACTGGCATGCTTTTATAAAAAACAGGTGGGAAATAGGAAATGTTCTGTACTTAACAGTAGCATTCCACAAGTTGTTAATGATGCCTTAAGCCATGCAGCACCCCTCCTGTTCTGCTGTTTGTATTCTTTCAGCATGCCACTGTACAAACATGTAGACCTTAAAACAGTCAGTACACCTCGGACAAGAGGTTAGTCCCGCTTCTATCTCAAATTGGCTAAGCATTGATGATTCTTACTGTTTTGTGAGTTCATTCGGGTTGAACAAGAATAGATTTTCTTTGCAGCAAAAACATTTTGTTCTCATTTTAAAATACTGCAGTAATGTTTTAAGCAGGACAAAGATATCTATTGTTTGTCAAAGTCGCTTACAATCACAATATGTATGTATAGTAAGTACTGTTGTTATTCCAGTTAGAGTAAAGAATTATCGTCAGTCATTTCAGTGCAATAACAACTGGCAGAATGTGAGAGAGGCTTAAAAACCAGTTGTTTTTCATGGTTCTCAAACCATGTTTGAGTTTAAACATAATAGTTGGAAATGGTTTGTGATGGTTTCCTAAGATTTTAATTGGAAAGGTTTGTTTGAGACAATGCACAGTCCTGATCGTGAAGCCAACTGGATGAAAGTTCCTCGGGCAACCAAATAAAAATCACTGGAGTACTGAATGTGGAAACAGATAGTGATTGATAAAATGTACACCCTTTCCTCTGATATGGTCCAAAGAGACTGGATTATCGAACATCATGGAGCTTTATTATGGACATTTTGGTCTGCTTTTGTCTGCAAAGATAGCACAGTGCCTGCTTAAGAAATTGCTCCTTGGTGAAAAATAAGGTTGATGAATTTATTGAACTTTATGTGAATAACGCATAATGAGGCAAGAGTTGGTTTCAAAACTTAATGAATGATAATCAGGCTCAATCTCTGTGGCGTGGAACTGTTCTTCTTACAGTGGGACAAGAATAACCTTCTTTAGCTACAGTATATTATGTGTAATCAGAATACAGTTGAAGGAAGATGAGGAAACAGGACAAACCAGCTTTCATTTGGATTTCTACGGTTGTCAGTTAATTCAGACAAAGATTCAGCTGCTGTATGGCTGTCAGACGAGCTTGATGGCGCGAGAAAGGTATCTATTGTGTCACAACAAAGTGGAGACTTCTTCCCTTGTGAAATTGTCTTCAGGCTTATTTTGGTTCCTGCAGACATTGGAGTGTGTAATTTTAAAGCCTTGCTCTATTTACAGCGTGCATGCCCTTCGGCTTCTGTGTCATGCTCACATGTGAAGGGCTTCTTTATTTGTTGAGATAATTTTATTTTTGCATTGCTTCCACATGATCCAGGTCAAATAGGCTGCGAACTTGGATCAAATTGTTCTTTACAGTTTTCTCAATTCTCCTTCCAAATAAGGTTGGAAATATTTTTTATGTTCTATTTATTGCTGCTCATGCCGAAAAAATTTGAACATGTTGCCAGCTTACAGTTTATATTGAGTTGACGCCATACTTCATTGACATACTTGATTAGGAGAGCACATTCTTGCTGTACCTTAACCCTTTTCTCTTACTCCCTTCTCCTCAGTGCTCTGTGACCAGCCAGGGTATCAGCCCCTGCTCTACGCTGACCAGCAGCACGGCGTCTCCCAGCACTGACAGCCCATGTTCCACACTCAACAGCACCACCAGCCGCCCCCCTCTTAGCCGCTCCAGCCCCTGTGGGACCATCACAAGCCCCAGCTCCACACTTGAGAGCAAGGACAGTGGCATAATAGGTGAGAAATAACCAGCTCCTTCATCATACCCAAATAGCAACATATATGATGCATGACAACTGGGTGGCGGGTGAATTTTTGTATAAATTACCCATTTAAATTACATTGTCCATTTTTGGATTAATGGCTGGAGCCGCCAGGAGCCACCCATATCGAACTTCACAACTGATCTTCAGAAAACTATGGTTGATGTCATGGACACTATGTCCGTGTTTTATACAGCCTATTATATTAACACATGGTCAGTGCAATACACATTCTTGGTTCAGAACGCAGCAGCGCGTCTGGTTTTTGATCAGCCCAAAAGGACTCATGTCACTCCATTACTCAGTGACCTCCACTGGCTCCCCGTGGCCTCCAGAATCAAATTCAAGTCACTAATGCTTGCATACAGAGTGACTACTGGGTCTGCACCCATCTACCTAAACTCCATAATACAAACTTACGTTCCTTCTCGCCCGCTACGCTCCTCCAGCGAACACCGCCTGGCTCTGCCATCCCTTCACACAAAGCAATCCCAGTCCCAGCTATTCTCATCTGTGACACCACGATGGTGGAACGAGCTACCACACACCATCAGAGCAGGGGCGTCCCTCTCTAACTTCAAGAAGCTCTTGAAAACTCATCTCTTCCGAGAACAATTCCTCTTATAACACCTCTAACTCCTAACCTCTAACATGCACTTCCTGTGCTCTTCTTCTTCTATCCCCTACAATTATCTTGTATTGATTGCACTTTTTTGTTTTGATTGCACTTTTTGTTAACTCTTACTTCCTTCCCTAGGTATCTACCCCATTGATGTGATATGTACTGTGAGCTCTTACTAGTATTTATTGCTGCTCTTAATAGTATGTATTGTCAGTTGTAGATCTGTATTTGATGCTCTGTTGATGCTTGTATGTTGTTCCTCAAATGTAAGTCACTTTGGATAAGAGCGTCTGCCAAATGAGTAAATATAAATTACTAAAGTTAAAGTTAGCACTAAACTTAAAGGTTTTATGCTATTGACTGCAGTAATGGTTAATGTAACAATCAGCCAAAAAAGCACAGAAACAGACTATCACGCAAACACATATAAAGAATATATTTATAAAGAATAAAAATCAGCTTTGTAAATGTTTCATGAGGAAGAAAATAAATCCCACACCTTTGTGAGGTCTCAAGCACACAATGTTTTTGCGAGTAACACTGAATGTAAACATAATTTAGCACATGGTGGGGGTAATAGTGAAAATGTTTTACTGTTTTGTATTTGAGGCAATTTTCTTAAATTTTACAGGATGATGCAAAACTAAAACAATAAAAAGATATAAAGCATGCTATAGAGTGTCTGTCAAATAACCAGCTTCAAATAAACTTCACTGCAGTTTAAAAACAACCCGTAGACCCAATAGTCGGTAACCACACTAGGAATGCTGCTAATGAGCCTGCTGCAGATCCTTTGGGAAACTGGGCACAGTGAATCAATAGCTTGAGTAGTAGCATGAGGACACCACCTCAGACCAGCGACATAAAATGCCAGCTTACCAGTGGGTCAATCAGCTGCTGGGTTTGATAAAAACATAGGTTATAACAAAAGCTTTGCTGACCTCTCAGTAATATTTTTTTTGTGTCTTGGCATTTATCCTTCACAATATGACCATCACCGCAGATTCCTCAGCACACATTTACTGTATAATCATAACTTATTTTCCATGAAGCTCCTCTATTTCTAATATGCAATCTGAGAATTGTAACCTCATGTGCACTTTGTGATTTAGAGCAAAAAGTCTCACCCGCGTGGTGTCACTCATTCATCATTTTGTTAACACTTTTTCTGTGGGACTGAATACCATTTCTGTCTGGTTATATTCAACTTCATTCATCAACATGCGTCAGTTATTGGGTTTAAATAGAGCAGTTCCGGTATGAGAGAGCATTGAGGTGACAGTTGCCACAGTTTGGCGCTGTATTGTATCTCTAGCAATAGCTCTGTAAGACATCTGGGGATTTACACAAGCTGACAGGAATATGACGTAGTCTATATGACATATTAATCCGTCTGCTATTTCTTCTCGCCAAGCTTTCAGTGACTATGCAAATGTTATAAATTCATTCAGAAAATGGCTTTTGAATATTTGTAGTGAGGATTCAATTGCAGATTGTAACTGTATGATCCTGCAGCTATCCTCGGTTGACCTTAAATCATTTCTGAAGGCACTGATAGATTTTGTGGGAAGATTTAGCGGCTGGGAATAAGGTTTAACATTTTCCTTATCCTTGCATGAACTAACTATGATATCACATATAATATGCCTATTTAGGTAACTGATTGACATGATTGCTCTGCAGAAGGAAAGCAGTGCGTGCCAAAGCCAGATATAACACAACAATTTGGATGTCCGATACTGCAGAGTGGACATAATTGATTCCCACAAGTCAGTCATTCTGTTCCCCCAGAGCAATATCATAGCTAGCTGCTAAATAATTTATGGAAGCTTTGATATAGTATCTTCCAGCATGAGGCATTGGCATGCTGCCACCCAGGATGAGACATACAGTTACGTTGCATGTGTCTATCTCATTGTAATGCTACTTTGCTTGTGTCAAATCAAAATCAATTTTGTTTGAGAATGACACGATGTGATATTGCTCCACTACAACATCCCACCCACCCGCCTTGATAAGACTGTGCAGGCATGGAAAAGAACAAAGCTTTGTTGTGTCCACAAGTCAGATTCCAGGCTGTGATTAATGTTCCCTGCTCTTTTGAAGTTTGACTCTGATTTGAAAAGCACATTAATTTGGCTTTGGAATTGGGGAGACTTTGCAATGTCTTAACATTTACAAAACAGCTCCCAGAGGGGTTTCTGCACAAGGTGCCCGGAGAAGGACTTGTATCAGCCCTTTAACAATAACCATAACCAGTTTTTCGTAAGGGAAAAGGACAAGCTCACCATAGGTTTGAATAAATAATAATGCATTCTTTGCCGTGGGCTATAGTTCAACCAAGAAAGCAATAACTGCAACCTCTTCTACACCGTGATGACTGCTGAGCCAGAGCAGAGCTGGACATGGCTAGTGTCACTGAATTATTTCATGTTTGCCCAGGTAAACAGCACAGGAGACACAAGGCCCAGGATGTGTTATATTAATGTTACTGATGATGCAACGTGCTGCAGCATTATGAAATCCAAATTAGAAGTGTGTGATGCAAACACAGACAGCTGGCCTGTGTCAGTTCCAGTCCTCTGACTGTACTGATGTTTCTCTATCCAGCTGCCTGTCATTGTGTGGCTTTGGCCCTCCACTCATCTTTTAGGATCATATTAGATGGCTGAGTTGGCCTGAGGTAGGATTAAAGGATTTGTTGTGGTGTTAGCAAAACACCTGTCTGAACTTAAAAATATCAAAGGCAGTTTTCAGCACTAATTCTTCACTCTGCAGTTTTTTTACATGTTTAAGTGTGAATTTTTGCTTCATAGTACAGCATCCAGTTTACACTGTTTGATATTTGAAGCTTCAACTGATGATCCTTGAAAAGAACAAAAATTTTCTGGGCTCAAGAAATGAATTCTACAAATCAACGCCATCACGTATTTCCAGTTTTCATTAGTACAAGCAGACTGTCTCTGTAAATGTAAAATCAGGTGGTGAATAGTGTTGATAAGGGTAAGACAGGGAGTTATTCAAAGTTCCTTTGCAGCTCAGTATCTCACTAGAGGAAAAGACAGATACATGTTCATGGCACAAAAAGAACATTTTGTCACATTTCTTCTCTTCCCTCATCTTACCTCCCTCACTTTCTCTAATTCCCTCTCTGTTTTCATCTCCTCTTAGCCACCATCACTAGTTCTTCGGAGAATGATGACCGTAGTGGCTCCAGCCTGGAGTGGAGTAAGGATGGCAGCCTGAGAGGCAGCGGGCGCCATGGCCTGGCACAGAGTGTGCGGGCTGATACCTGCTCTCCTGTGGCCGAAGAAGACTCCAACAGTGCCACAGCAACACCAGCCGACACCCCATCCAGGACAGGCCAGCAGCTACAGTCGAACACATCAGCAGGGGCACTACAGCCTCCAAGTCACTCACCTGAGGGACCCATTCCATACCCACCACCAACATCATCTTCCCTCATGATGCCGAGGCCAAACTCTGTAGCAGGTAAGAGCCCTTGTTTTTTTAGCTCTGGACATATGGATGTCTTCTGTGCAGTGGAAAATGAATGGATCTAGGATACCTTTCCTCAGTGATGGTGTGCGCTCATGTAGCTTTACATGAAACATTTTATTTAAGCTTTCTTCTTCTAGCCTGGTAGCTTTAGTTTTTTAAGATGACAGTAAAACTGTGACTCTGTGCTTGAATTGTCAGTCAGATCAAGATTGCAACACTATGATATGACCTGTGCCTGAGGCTGACAAGTGTCATTTCTAGTCCAAGCAAGTGACAGACAACAGCCAGAAAAAAGCATGTGCAGATATAGAGGTAATGAGAAGTTTCCCAGAAACCAGTTGTGCTTTTCAACGAGGAATGGGGCATCAAGGCAGAAGTTTGATATTGGACAGCTGTTGCATGTTGCCTCTACCCTGCCTGCCATATCGGATCTAAACGCAAGCCACTGTCTGGCTGATCTGTTCTGCATTCCTGCCCTGGAACCTCCCTCTTATGGCTCAGCTCCATATCCACACAGCTGTCACAGTTGTTGATATCCCTTGCTAACCCCTTTTCCCCTCTCTCTTTCCCCCCATTTCTATTCCCAGATCTCCCTCACACTGCCTCCCTCTGTTTTTGCCTTTGCTGCATTTGACCTTGGCCAGCAAAAATCAAGACCTTACTGAATGTAATGGTTGATCTAGTATTTGAGAACTACTATTTTCAGATGTGTTAACTTTGAAATCCCCAGCAATGCAGTCTGCACCTCTAAATGCAATCACATGCTATATGGAGCAAGATAATATTCCATACCCAATACGAGTTGTATGTAAAAGGAAAAGTACTTTTACTTGGGCGGACCACCCAGGTATATTAATGGCCGCCCAGGTATATTTAGCGATTTTAGCATTTTGCAGAGAAACACAGAGTTGCTATCTATTACATTACAAGTTGCGAACACGGTAGATATATTTTACAAGCACAGACCAGGTAAAGCGACAGTGAACACCCCAGGGCATATGTTATTCGCTAGCTACCACATTAGTCTAGTTCTGATAGGCTTTGTCGTTAACATGCCTCCCACACAAGCAAGGCACCAGCTGCTGTGAACAGAATAGCGGGTGAAAAAAATCCAGAAGACGAATTATGTGTTTTTTCGGGGACTTAATATAACGCATCCTACTACTGATGGAGAAAGTCAACGCAGCAGACTTATACAGGAGAGAAAGAGGCAATCTGATGTGTTTGGTTTGCAGCAGAGGTGCATACCTGTGTGAGTGTGGGGAGAATAGAACTAAAGGGAAAGGGAGCAGATTCAATTTGAGTAGACACTAAAATAAGGTGGAGAATGAAATAGAATTAAAATGGTGAAATATGAAATAATCGTCTAGAAAAATGGTAAATATATTGGCAGTGAGAAGATGTCTTTACTTCATTTTGTATTGCTCAGGGATATGACAGGGTGAAAAGAGTGTTTTACCTATTTCACCTTGATGCTGCAGCTGCCAATGTGTTGAAGTTCAAATGCTTTACTACTCCTGCAAAATATACCTCCCTTTGGTTGACCTTGATGGAATATAGTAAATTCACTCATGTCTACTGCCAATCTGTGTGTTTTTGTCTTTGATGACATCTAGCAGGTTCCTATTGAGTTCAAATGCAATTATTGTAAATCACCTTGGACAAAAACATCGCCAAATGAATGTAATGCAATATAAAGGTTCAAATACCCCTTACAGGTCTCCAGACTAACTAATGTTTTATTTAGGTGCACCTAGGGCTGGGCAGTATGGCCTAAAATTATATCATGGTAAATTTGAAGCAGGGATTGTAACGGTATATAACAATGTATTCTTTTTCTTAAAACCTCCAACTGCTTCTGAAGGGGTAAGCACTGGTATAGCAAGTGAGCCGTGTGAATAGTCAGTAGTTCTTCATTTTGAATTATGTTTTAGGCTGTTATGTTGCTCATGATTTATTTAATTTAATAAATGCTTGTTGTAACGATTAATTTACAACAAGCAGCCCACTTATCTGCTGAAGGTAGTCTGC